AATTCCATCACGACATATATGCTTGAAACTAGTCAGCAGTATTAATATTGGAATTAAACTTAAATACTGCTGACTAGTTTCGAAACATAGTAATTCTGTGTCGCGATGGGATCATATTAAAAAAAAATTATATATATATATATATATATATATATATATATATAATGGTATGTGCGGAAGAAAATCAATAAATCCGTAGCTTAATGATGAATGGAAGGTTTAATAATCTTACGTCCCAAATGTTTATATCCAGTACATCTAATTCCATCGTGAATATTAATTAGAAAAGGACGAGTGAAAATTTCAGGTCGAAATCAGAAAATAACTATGTGTCTGTATCTACCAATGGATTTATTTATCACTCAATAATGTGCGAAAATATACATATACGCAATCTTCAAAACACTTGGCCTGAAGATTGCGTGCAAGCATGAAACAGACAATCGGCGCTTGATGTTGTCCTCCGTGACAAGTTTTGTATTTATATACGCTCTATCTCTGATATTGACCCCTTTGACCCACAAATATAACATACCATAAAACTATACTTTATCACACACACACATACACATATATATATATATATATATATATATATATATATATATATATATATATATATATATATAAAATATATATATATTAAAAAAAGAAATAAAATAAAGAGTAAGAACAGTAAGATTTTTAATCCAATGTTTTATTAATTATTTCTATTTTTATTTTTTAAAAACAGTGCTCAATACAATTCTGCGGAGCATAAATAAAATATTATAAATTTACTAATTTAGGGTTTCGTTTTCCAAATACTACACAGGAATTAACATGTTCAAAAAACAGAAACAAAAACTTAAAACTTAATTTTTAGTTTCTGTTTTTGGAAACATGGTAATTCCTGTGTAGCGATGAACCGTATTTTAAATTAGCAAATTTATAATATATATATATATATATATATATATATATATATATATATATATATATATATATATATATAGAGAGAGAGAGAGAAGGGAGAGTGTGTGTGTGTGTTTATGGGTGGGGTGCAAGAGAGAGGGAGAGTGTGTGCGTGAGAGAGAGCAAGAGCAATGGCGTAGCTAAGTGGGGGAGGCGAGGGGGGCGGACTGCCCTGTGTGCCAACACAGGAGGAGGACACAATGTCACCCCCCAACAAAATTTTTTTCAACGGGCTAAGGTGCCAAAAGAGTCTGAAAACAGTGGTGGAGACACAGGGTTTCGCAGTAAGGGCATATGACCCCCGGAAATAATTTATGACCCTCCCAGTTTTGTCCCCCCGTCAGAAATTTTCTAATAAATTGTCGGGAAATTTGTGAGTAGGAAAAATAGCAATGTTTTCAGCTTTTGATTTGAACTGATTATTTTGTGGTATTGGATTTTGTCTTGGATCATACATGTTAACAGTAACGTACCGGTCAGTAGAGTAAAGTAGAGTATGTATGAAAATTTAGCTACAGCTAACCATTCAGCATAGGGTGAATCGAGGTCATTGGGGTGACATTTGAGCGGACCGCCCCGGGTGACGTTTACTCTAGCTAGGCCACTGAGCAAGAGAGAGAGAGAGAGAGAGAGAGAGAGAGAGGGAGAGAGAGTGGGGGGGGAGAATTAATTTAATTAAAACGTTTCTCATTGATTAATTGCTATCTATATCAGTTCGAGTCCAAAGATTCATAGACGGACTCTCCAGGAATCATTCCGTCCACTCCTCAGGGCTTATCAAATATTTTTTGGGGCACAATAAATATTTTTTTAGTTTGTTTATCATTTTTTTTTTTTTATCATTTTCAAGTCTTTTGAGGAAATAATTGTTAAAATTTTCTTATTTCCAAATTATTGATTATGTTTTAGATGATCTTGTTTTTGTGGGCATTTTATTGATGTAAATACAAATTTGTTAATATTATTATATTTTTGTGGATATATCTGATTTGGGTCTAATATTTAAAGTGTAGTTAAAGTGCATTGATTCCATGATGATGTAAATTACTCTACTGATTTTTAATTTTTTTTTTATTTATTGGAAAATATAATAGCAGAAATGAATTCTGTGAAAAATGATCAAACTAAAATAAAAAGCTGCTCAACTGAAAATGATTTTTCAAAATCTAAGGCAGTAACGATATATATATATATATATATATATATATATATATATATATATATATATATATATTTTGTGTGTGTGTGTGTAGGAAAGGTAATAAATCCATTAATATATAATCCAAGCTGATTCTAGTAATATAAAATATTAAAACTGATCCACAAAAAGAGCTCAATTTTTTATTATTACAGAGCAAATAAATAGTAGGAGACCCAAAAATCCAAAATTACCTCATATGGGGTATAGACAAAATTTGGCAATTTGGGATTTTATGTACTTATATATATATATATATATATATATATATATATATATATATATATAGAGAGAGAGAGAGAGAGAGAGAGAGAGAGAAAGAGTCATCGACAGAGAGACTGTTTCGCT